GGGTGGGCCCGGCCTCCCCGGGGGGCATGGAGGGCCGTGTGGGACGTGGGCCTCTCTCTGCGCCCAGGTGTGCAGTAAGCGGGAGAAGCGCCTGGCCGACCCCACCCTGGAGAAGTACGTGCTGAGCGTGGTGCTGGACACCATCAGCGCCTTCTTCAGCTCCCCGTTCTCCGAGAACAGCACCTCCCTGCAGGTGAGCGCTGCCGCCCCGCGTGGGGAGGGCTCAGCACACGTGCTCATATTGGCTCGTCGTGCAGAGAGGCTGTACAAGGGTATTGTCTACATGAGATGGTTTGGACATATAGAGAGGATGAATGTAAGGAGATAGACGGAACAAGCATACAAGACGAGTGTGGATGGGAGAGTTGGAAGGGGTCGACCTCAGCGAACGTACCTCAATCAGATTGAGGACGTTTTTAGCAAAGAACAGCTTAGGAGGACCCTAATTAAGATAATAACAATGTACCTACCTATATAGTTTAAGTTTAAAAAATGTGTCTCTCAAAAGAAATTTCAGTCGTACTGTTGATATTGGGCTCTGTTGACTGATGAGTTTGCCGACCTCTGGTCTACGCTGGTGACCAATTTCCCCCAAGTTACCCATTTCAAACAGCAAACATTTACGTTCCTGTGATCATGTTCTGCAGTGAACACTATGGCCTCACAGTGTCTGTGCTCAGGACTGAAGTGGGGACTTTCCGTAGAGCAGGACTTCCTTACTTGCTCGGGGCGATGGGTGCTGGGTGCCAGGGACGCCTGGCTGCACGGCCTCACCCACCGGAGGCAGGTGGCACGCTTCCCACAGTGGGCGGCAGAGCCAGAGCTGGGGGCGGGCGACTGACAGCGAGCTGGCGTGGACCGTGGTGCCCCTAACGGGATAGGTAGACAGGCCGGTGCACATGCTTTCTCTCCACTGAGCCCGGCCCCAGCCGAGGCCCAGACTTCACAGCCCAGAGCCCTGGAATGGAGGGGCCGGGCTCCCTGGAGGAAGGGGCTGCCACACCCCTGAGTCACAGAGGAGCCCCGGAAGGAAGCCAGTGAAAGGGCCTGCCCACGGGTGGAGGGGTGGGCACAGTGGGCAGTGCCGCTGAGGGCGGCCAGGAAACTGCTGGCCCCACTCACAGCGAGGTGGGGTGTCGTTGGGCACCGTGTCCGGGCCCAGGACCTCTCTGGCATTAGTATCAGTGTCTCCTGCCCCTCACCGGCCCCAGGCAGAGTGGGGTCAGAGGGAGGGAGAGACTTCTCAAAGTGCGCCTTTTTATTACCTTTAAACCAGGCAAACATGTCAGCTTTTCACAGCATGAACTTATTTAAAAAGATTTCTAAAGGAAGAGAAGGGTCAGCAACAGCTGCAAGGCCAGACGTGGGCCTGGGGGAGTGGGCAGTGGGCAGTCTGCACTGCGAGGAAGGGGGTGCCTCTTCCCACTGGCACAGAGCCCAGGGTCGCACTTGGGGGCTGTCCTCCACCCGTGCCGGCCTCGGGG